CGCGAAATTCCCTATTTCTATAACAGTCCAGTCAGGTAAGCTGCTTAACGGAGAAATTGCAGTTTTCAACGCAACAGATGTAGTTCGGGACATTTCAAAGACATTTTGAGATCGTTGACGACGACGTATATTACAATCGTGTGACAAACTGACATTGTGCACTGCAAACTATCAAGTCAGCTCATTTGTTTCTCTCTCTCTCACACACATATGCACAACTCAATGTGTTATATAACGATAGAGTTGATTAGCATGCACACTAGATAGTGGTGTGATAGCAATTGACACTCCTTCATTTGTTTTTTTATTGGAAAAGCAAACCTGGTGCAATATGGGCACCAAGAAAGTCGAGTACTAGGTAAAGGGGAGGGGAAATCAGTCGACGAGGTTGTGAAGCAGTTACACCGATTGAGATGGATGGTTAGGGCATGTGCTATGCGTTTACGTCTAGCCATGACCTTCCTCGACGAGACATGTTAACTGACATCGGATCGATCAGGTTGGAAAAAAACTGGTAGTGGTGAAACCAGAACATGACTTCAACAGTAAATGAAATCCACAACAGTTAGTTGGAGCCAAGCAGACTGCCACGTAGGGAGGTGTAGACTGCCCGATTGGGGTCCTCAGGATGATATAAACCAATGAAGGCTTGAAACAACCCGTGATATGGTTGAAAATCGTTCTCGGTGATGGCTGGCGCAGATGCACTCACTCTTCGTGATTTATAATACCCTATAAAAATCTACTGTACTTCCATTATTGATTTCGCCTCACTCACATGTGTGTTTATTATATATCTCCCTTTGTTATTTGAAACTCTCTTCTCGTGCTTTGTATGCAACATGGAGCTAGTGTGGTAACTCCAACTGCTGTACATCTGTGCAAAGTTCCACGTTGAAACTAGTCAGTCAGGGCACCAAAGAGTGTGCCACACAAAAATATGTAAGGAATATACGAGGAGGATGAGTGAGGGGATGTCATCCAGGAAGCAAGCAAGCATCCTTGTCAAGATCTTTCAACATTCATCACTACATGTTACTTTCAGATGGGAAAGATAGAAAAAACATACCGAGTGTTTGTCATTGATTGCCATCCTTGGCTTTATCTGGCTATATCCGATTCGAACTACCTTCTGGATGCCAAACAGGGAGTCATGGTGTGCCATATAATGCTAACCTAACACCAATATCCTTCACCGCACAACGCAACGTCATAGGCTGGTCAAGCACCTCTCTGCTCTTTCCATCCAGTCACAGGGCTAGCGAACAAAGACCGGAACGGGAGACTCTCAGATAACATTTGTAGCACATTTCCCAGTTATCGAAACAGGTGCTTCCAACTGATGGTGGACCAACAAACACAATCTGCCGGACGTCAGAATTATTCATGCTATAACACCACCAGTTTTATGGGGACACTGGTGATCGAATAAACAGAGTCGCCGCCCATCCTCAGCTAGGAGAGATCAAGTTTCACGGGCGCAGAACAAGATTGTGAGCCCAACCTCTGACAGCCAGACTAATATCGGACTCCTTAACTCCTCATAATACTGCAGTTTTGCTTGGAAGAGAACTAGATAGAGCATATTGCGCAAGTGAAGAAAAAGGGCTGATCTCTGCAATCAAGCTTTTTAAACCCGCAAAAAATACTTATATACTTACACACTCAATTTGTACGGCTAGAATCGATGACACTTTCACGTGGAATCGTCAATATTTTTAAAAATCCGTTTGCTTATATGATGACTAGTGATAAAATGACTCAACCTAGGAGTACGCCAAATCAAAAAATGATGATGCAGCTCATTGGTTTAAGCATTTGACTTTCAGTCAATAAATCCCCAGTTCGAGTCTCTCATACCACCTACTACAGACTGAACCACTAGTTTTCACACGCCTTATATGTACTCCACATTGCTAGATCCCGCACAAAGATTCTAACTACTAACTACCAAATCTGATAAAACTTGGGTAGTTGCATCAGACCCGACAAGCCAATTGCCAACGAAATCTAACCCCACAGAGATACAAAAGACTCGTGTAGCATTTACCAAATTACTTCATCTCTGGATTACTAGTCATGATATGCCGCTGGCTATCCATCAAAGGACGTGTGTGCTGTGACTACTTTCGCTCCGCCCTCTCTTTTGGCTGGATGTGAGAGTGAAAGATACGAAAAGGCTAACCATCTTTCATCATAGGCGTCGGCATGTTAGGTGGGATAATAGGGTGAGTGAGTAACACTGAGGTTAGACGTCGAGTGTTAAGTAAGGAGGGAAAGTCAAACGATGAGGCTGCAAATCTACCTCAACTGAGATGGCTACAACATGTTTTAGGTAGACTTGGCCAGCGCCTTCCTCAAAGGGGAAATGTTAGCTGACATAGAATCAATCCGTTTGGATGAGAACAAGTAGTGGTGGTCGAACGAAAACATGGAATCAGTCCATGGTATGTGTGACAGTTAGTTTGAGCTAGCCACGTAGGGATGCGTAGATTGCCTGACTGACTGGTTGGGGTCGTCGGGATTCTAAGAACCATAAAATGACAATTGGTGGTATGGCCAAAAATCCTCGTTCTCAATGACTGGCACAGATGCATCCACTCTCTGTGATCTTCCATACCCATTACAGCCCTATTGTTTTCCGATGTTACCATAGTTTCTCCCTAACATTTTTGCTTGTGACAGTTATTTCGAATCTCTCGGTTGTCTTACTTTGTGTTCTATATGGAGGATGGCAGATGGAACAGGTGCACTTGTGGTGAATTCTGCGTCGAAAGTCAATCACAGTCGTTCAGAGGAAACTTGATATCACTCAAAACAGCACGAACTACAAGAGTTCCTCTTAAGCACAGTGTACACCTGATATGCGCACAAACAATTCTCGGGCACTTGGTGAACTCAAGCCACATAGCTCCACCAGAGTCGTCTTTCAAAAATCATCTACAAGGTGAGCCCAAATTGTACAAAGAGCGTCATGTTTCGGCATTTGCATACGGAAGAGGTGTTAGCAATTCGTCAATACATCCCCGAACTCTGTATACAGAAAAAGTTTATCCAGGCTTTTATTCTACCATGATCTAAACCTCTTTATTAGTCGTTCCCTGTAAAAAAAATTTTGATTTTACTTTTATTAATAATTAACTCAATATTATCACTCTCATATGTTCCTGTTGAACACTTTCACACTTGTTAAATGGACAATCAACCACCACCTTTCTTCTCATTACTCAATAGTAATTTTAATCTTATCAAATTTCTAACGCCTTCTTCCTTTGAGCCGTTGAGTAATTTACAACTTTTATTTTTACTTTCAAAGCCACTTCTGAGTAATTATATCAGTTATGTCACCTCCTATTATTCAATAATGGACTACTACTATACATTTCTGGTAAATACAAATACGACTGAACAGCGGCTGAAAATGATTTCGTCGATACGGAAGCATTTTCTTCACTGAATTGTATTCGGTACTTATCATTTGCAAAATGTAAAAAGTGAATGAGGATGAATATGGCGGCCAGTCAGTTACCTTGTAGAGACAGTAGGAGAGCTTCCTCATACGACAAAGCTACCTCTCAATGAGGAAATTATTTTAGGCATTCAGTTATGCTTCACATCTACTATCTTTAAATTTCAGGGCAAAATATACAGACAAACAGAAGGTGTGTAACAATGAGATGGATCACCAATATCCCCTATCGTAGCAGATATCTTCATGGATGGATAGCTGGGAAAATATTGCTCTTAATACATTCACCTAATCCTCTTCCAAAAATATGGTGGAGATATGTGGATGACACTTTCACACAAGTGTTGAAAACAGAACATCTCTCTCCCTCTCTCTCTCTAGCTACTTCACACACACACACACATAAACTCACTAGTAAAGGGAATAAAATTCACATCTGAATCACAAGATAAACAAGGAGAATCAGCTGTGATGTTAGAGTGCAAAATAAAACGAAGAGAAGAAGGTAAATTGCACACTGGCGTTCACAAAAAGCCAACGCATTCTACTAATAAAGATTTAGACTTCAGTTCATCTCATCCGTTCGTTATCTGTCTGTTAAGGCAGGCTTAGTTAAGTGTCTAACAAACAGGGCAATAACAACACTGAGTAGTACAAAAAACGACCTAAGTGATGAAATAAAACAGATAGAAGAAGCGTTGATGTGAAATAGCTAACTATCCTATAAAATTCATTAGGAAGATGAGAAAAGGTTGAAAGCAAAATATAAATAATGGTGAAACTAATGATGATAACTAATATAAATAAGAGAGCATATAAGGCATCTACTGTTATACCATATAGGGAGGGGACATCTGAGACCCTACGTAGGATTCTTAATAAAGCAGGAATTAGAGTGGTGGCATTTAAACCTACAAACTCACTCAGGGACAAGCTCTGTAGGTTAAGGGACCTTTTCGGTTGACCCAATTAGACAAAATAATATAATTTACAAAATACCCTGCAATGACTGTAAGTTAGGTCAAACTAGTAGATCAGGGGTAGTCAGATTGTCGGAACATAAGAATTTAGCTAAGGTAAGAATGGTTGACCCCACAAAGATAAGTAATTTAGAGAAAATAACTCAGCGCCATATTGCACTGCATGCATTAACACACAACCACACAGTAGCATGGTGGGAGAGGGTTGATATTCTAAGAAGTAATATAGGCAGGTGGAGAGAGAGAGAGAGGTTGATTACTGAATCCTTGTTCATCAAGTCTACACCCAACACGTGAAATAGGAATGACTCATCACTCATACGCGAAATATGGAAAATACTACTACTATTACTACCAATCAAATCAAGCGAGGAGAAATAATGGAATCATATAAACGAAGTTGGAAAGTTGTTTGATTACTGCCTTGGTAATGATGACGAGGATGAGCAGCAATAAACTGTGCTCGAGGCCTCGTAATCACCCACACAAATACACTGTGAGACTTTGTCAAAATAAATTTTATCCGTAGTGAAATCATACTCCACCACCACCACCCAAAAGTTCTTTTCTTACACCAATTCAATAGTAGGAGAAAGTTATGACTATGCAAAATCAATTTATGAGAAAACAATAAACACATTCAGAGAATAATTGATCTATTCACAATTATATTAATCTTCATTAACTTGCATTGCAAGATCATCATCATTAATATCAATATTTTTCATATCCACAGGTTCTGGAATAAAATAATATTGACCATCATCTAATTGTTTACAGACAATAGTGACTTCTGGATGCAATGAAGTACGCATAGCATAACTGTCTTCTTCTTCTAACTCTTGTACATCGTCACCATTTATCCAGACGGCAAGCAGACCAACACGAAACTCTGACATTTCATGTTGGAATAATCTCTAAAATATAATTTTAAATAGAGATTATATATATATGTATATATAATAAGCGTGTATGAGTTAAACAGCAAAAAAGAAATGCAACTAAAAGAGATAATGATAGGCCATCGAGTGTTAGGTGAGAAGGGAAAGCTGTTTTTCTGTACGAAGCTTTGTTTCAGTTCCCTAAGGGATCGATGGTTCTATAGAGTATTGTTTTTGGTGTGTTTTGTCATTCGTGCGAAACTAATGCATTTAGCAGCAATATATCCAAAGGTAGATATCCAGCTTTAGTCTGATAGTGTTGTCGTTTCATTGGGGTTGACTGCATTTTTTGACGGGGCGATATATATTACGCGGTTAACTTCAATATTATACATAGCTTGACCTAGTTATATCGTGAAAAAGCCCTCATTGCAAATTGCATAATTTGGTCTATAATTATGGATATAAGCGTATCTTGCCTATCCGATTCTAGCTTTGACATTTTCAGTCGTTCCGCCTCTATAATAGTCCCCCTTTAATACCAACCAGCACAGGAAATAGTACTTAGACACTTATGATCAAAGACCGACAGTCTTTTCGTATCTCCCACTTTCAGTGGTCATATCTCACAGTCATGAAAGGAGGACGAAGAGAAGTTAATCACAGTACACACGTCCTTTGATTTATAGCCAGCTGGATATCACGTCTACAACACCAGAGGTGGAGTGAGCTGGCAAACGCAACACGAGTCTTTTGTATGCATGATGAGACTTCGTCAGCAGTCATTCCACGGGGGGTTGAGACAACAACTTCCCAAATAAGTGAAGTGGTCAACACGCTCTACCACTACACTTGCTATCATCAAAACTAGGAGTTGATGTAGTCCAGTCTTCTTAAAGGTGGTTGAGGGGAAAGGGAATTGTCACATGTAACTACCGTCTGGCTAAATAGCCTACCACAATAAGAATCAAAACTGTATAGATATTAACCACTCGCTTCTTAGTCAGATAAACCAACCAATTAAATCTCATTATTTTTGATAGACGCCTACTAATCGTCCTTTGTCGCCGTATGATTTGTATTCAAGATACTATATGACCGCTGCAAATGTATAATTATCTGCCAAGTTTGATCACGAGAGCCATTGGATAACTGGGGAAACCAATCACTCTAAGGTGTAAAATGTTGCACACAGAATTAAAAATGAATCAGCAGATAAAAAAAAACAGAAACTGTCTCATTTAAGAACAAAGTGCTGATACATATATAACAAACCCTGACTAGTATTCTGCGGTGATTGACAATTTCTATTACTGTATTGTTTAAATGCATGCTGGTGTTTGTTAATATTTACTATGTAAATTACAATTCATTTTGATAAATACAAATTCTTAAATTCTGCCCAATCGATGTTGTTTGGTTTCGTGTGATTCAGTCATTGGAAAGTACTATTACAAATAAATACCATTACAAATATCATCACATTTTAGCGTCGCTATGGAATTAAATAATTTTGGAAAGTTTCCCCGCGAGAAATCGCTGATTACCTTGAATGCTTTGACGCATGGTGCATGTCGAAGAATGTTCGCGATGACAAAATTTCAGCTCATTTGATTACTGCGATTGGGCTACATGCGTACAGTCTACTGAAAATTCTCACCTTTCCAGATAAACTGACTTCTCTGCCGTATGATAAAGCTACGTGGACTTCTGATAGATCACTTCCATATAACCATTTTTGGAAAACACGAGAGAGGGGGCAGTTCAACAAACTTGTTCGTGCTACTAAACCAGAAGATTAGAGAATTTAGTCTTTAACTTCAGATATAAGCTTCAAAGTGTAACTTTGGAGATCAGCTCCATACTCAACCATGTGATCGTCTAATTGTTGGGATCAATATTCCGAAGTTAGGCAAAGAGTTGATTCAGATTCCTTCCTGCATCTTTCAAACTGCTAGGGATTTATGTATTACATATGAAGATGTCAACAGTGAATATCCAGCTCCCACTACGTCGGTGTGGTGTCATGTTGTCCACAGTTGATAATACAGGTGTTCATAAAAAAAAATCCGAACTGTCATCCACATGTAATGGAATACAGACAGAAAGCAAAAACATCAAACTGTGTTTTTCATGTGGGAAGATTCATATACGAAGCAATTGCCGTTTTCGGAGTGCTAAGTGCCATAAATATGGTGAAATGAGCACATTAAGTCTGTTTGCCGGAGTTTGAATACTTATGCTACTAAGAATTCTCATGATTCTGCCAATTTGTCTGGTAAAATGCAGTCAATGTCTCTTTCAACTTTTCACAGTACTCAATCTCACCTAATGAAAATCTTCACTACAAGTTTCTCTCTTTTATAATTGATAGTAGGGGCAATGAATCTATAATTTCTAAGAAGAATTTACTATCGCTTTGTAAGCATGCCCAAGTAAATCCTACTGCTACTCCAATTACAGTCATTACTGGTCATAAACCACCTCCAATTGGTACTGCTAACATTGGTTTGAAACCAGAAAGTGGTAGTTTTGTAGATATTCTTCTCCTTGTAAGTGAATATTGTCCATCTTTATTAGGATTGAAAACCCTTAGATTGTTGAGTGTCACCTTCTACTGAGTTATTTGATGTATCTCTGCTCAGAGAATTAGTTCTCCAATGTTCAAAGAGTGTAGGTAGCATGAAGATTCAGCCCATCCATCTTGAAATAGAGGGTGATCCTGTCTTCCTAAAGCACCGATTAATTCCATATGGTTTGCGAGATGCAGTTAAGAAAGAAAAGGCACAAACAGCGAAGAAAATTTTCTTTTCGACGATTCATTTTCATGAGCTGTACAATCGTAATTATAATTAACAAAGAAATCTCTAGACCAATCAGATACTGGTAAATTTTGTCCTTAGAAAATTGTGTTACATAATGTAAGGTGTAAGAAGGGATGACTAATTGTAAGTTAGAAAGGAGACAGAAGTTGGCATGACGTAATAAGTGTGAGATAGTGAATAATCAATAATCTCGTGTAAAATGGACGGGAACTAGTGGAAAGGCTAATAAAGTGTTTTTGTATAAAATATGTATGGAAAACAATGTTATTAATAAACAGTAATAGAGTGGTAATAAAATGTGGATGATGGGGACAAAATGATAATTATTAATATTAATAACATAATATTATTAATAACATTGTTTTCCATACATATTTTATACAAAAACACTTTATTAGCCTTTCCACTAGTTCCCGTCCATTTTACACGAGATTATTGATTATTCACTATCTCACACTTATTACGTCATGCCAACTTCTGTCTCCTTTCTAACTTACAATTAGTCATCCCTTCTTACACCTTACATTATGTAACACAATTTTCTAAGGACAAAATTTACCAGTATCTGATTGGTCTAGAGATTTCTTTGTTAATTATAATTACGATTGTACAGCTCATGAAAATGAATCGTCGAAAAGAAAATTTTCTTCGCTGTTTGTGCCTTTTCTTATGACTCAATATGGGAATATTTCGTTCATTCAGTTAAGAAAGAGTTAGACAAGTTGGTTGAACATGACACATTTATACCAGTTGAATCTTCGAATCGGGCTACTCCCATTGTGACACCACTAAAGGCTGATGGGAAAACATCGAGAATTTTCAGTGACTACGGCCTTACACTTAGTAGTCACCTGCTACAGCGAAGTTGCACTACGCTTGAAACCGAAGACATTCTCTACAAGCGACATGGCTCAAAATACTTTTCCAAAATAGATCTCAAAGATGCTTATTTGCAGATTCCTCTTGACGAAGCTTCTGCTGCACTAACGACTATTAATAGTCCACTTGGATTGTTCAAGAATAAGTTCTTGCCTTTTAGTTTGAAGGCTTCATCTGCAATATTTCAAAAAGTAGTATATCAGATGATAGATGGATTAGATGGTGTTAAGTCTCACCAAGACGACATTACAGTTCATGGGCTGAACATCGAATTGATTAATGAACGTCTTTTAAAACTGTTCAGGAGTTTCTGTGAAAACAATATTCTGGTTAATCCGTCTAAATGTAACTTTACTTTGTCAACCGTATCATGCTTAGGATACACAGTAGACTCCAAGGATTTCAATCGTTTAGCACCTCTAATTCAAGCACCTTCGCCAAATAATATGTCGTCATTGAGACCATGGATTGTTACTCTTCAGTTTCACTCTATATTCAGCCCCAATTTCACTCAACTGTTACTCTCCACATTTTGATATTGTCTCCAATCAACAATTTAAGTGGGAATACCGACATGACGATATCTTCTGAAGAATTTTGAAGTTTCTCAATAGACAAGCTTTCTTAAAACCTTTCTCATCGAAAGATAAGACTGAATGTCATCTGATGAAAACGTTCACTACAGGTTCATGCAAGTCTCACTCTTTTTATAATTGATACTGGGAGTACTGAGACAATATTTTCTAAGAAAGATTTACTAACGCTTTGTAAGCATGCCTAAGTAAACCTTACTACCAGTTCAATTACAGGCATATATTCACTAAAGAATATGCATAAAAACACTATATACTAAGGCTGTTAGTAAAAATGTCATGAATTCATCTCAATCAAGATAAGAATCCATATGAAATATTTCATTAATGTTAACAAAAACTCACTAAAATTCGACATTGTTCTGGAGAAAGAACGTCGCCTTTAGTACACACTAAATAGTCTCTTTCTAAATGTACGACACCACGGACTAGTTTAACAGGCATTCCAAGTTGACGCAGAACAGGCTCCATAGTATGAGAAAATTTTTGTAAAGGACCAGCAGTGATTCGAACCTTAAAATGAACAGCAAAAATAATAATAATACCAATTAAAGGCATTAACAACTTCTGGATAGAGATGTTTTAAACCTGTGAAGTCAATAATTCTAATTTCAAGCAAGCTCATCGCCTAATTTCTGAACACCTTCCATCTTGGTTTGGCAAAGGTCCGAATAAAACTATACGCAGCTCAATACTAGCTCATCCTCTCCATACTGACTGGACATCAAGTCGACTCTAACAAACCTTTTGAAGTTATTTATTAATCGTATATCACCCAATCTGTCACATGGTCAACGAGTACGACTTTCATATACAGCAGAGGTAGAGGAGGGCAACGGCTAGGCGTAAATGCGTAACACGTGTCCTAACCATGGATCTCAGTCGGTGTAACTGCTTCACAACCTCGTCGACTGATTTCCCCTCCTCCTTCCCCACTTAGCAATCGACTGATGCCTCACCTCAACATTGCTCACTGCATTATACCACCACCTAACATGGGAGATAAAACTCAGACACCTATGATGAAAGACAGTTAGCAAGGCTTTTCATATCTTTCACTGTGTGAATGGCCATGTTTCACAACCAGCCAGTCAGCCATAAAGGAGGGCGGAGCGAAATGCTGCTGAGCGGTACACATGCTCTTTGGTTGATAGTCAGTCAGATGTCACGTCTACTAAGCCACAGAGAGATGGTGTGAGTTGAGTTGGCTGAAAAATGTCAAACGAGCCTTCTGTATGCGTGCTGAGATTTCGCCGGCGATCAACCCGCTGGTGTTGGCTGATACAACCTCCGAAATAAATGAGGTGGTCAACACGCTGAGTCAGCCAGTCACCACTTCACTCATGTGTGCCTGTCTTTAAGCTAGGAGTGAGTCGATGTAGTCCAGTCCACTGCATTACCTTACATTTGACAGCAGGAGCAAATCTGACTGACTGACTGGTTTCAACATAGAACTTTGCACCGATGTGCAGCAGCACTTATAGTCCCCACACTCACTCCATGTAGCCCACAAGCAAGAGAAAGTAAAAAAATGAAAAACAGACACAGTAAACAGAGATAAGAGGCAAAAAGAATAGTAATATGGAAGAACAAATAGTTTTATTGAGTATTTTAAGTCACAAGGAGTGGATGCACCTGCGCAACTGAGCAAATCATATGCGAAACATTCAAAGACTGCTGCTGTTAAGAAAAGTCTGCTCTATTTTTTGAGGGACGACTATGTCATCTGCATATTCTAAGTCAACGAGACTATTATTCCTTGGTAGTAACAAGTCAATCCTGGAGTCACTGAAGTCAGTTGGGGTTAAGTCCATTAGCACATCTATGATGAAATTTATAAAGTGTGGATAGCGGGTATCCCTGACGGACTGTCATTACAGTTGTCAGATGACAACTCTCAGCAAATTCTCACCTGGCTGACTGCATGAGTGTCCTAATCAGTGTGATGTATTTCCTCGGCATTCCCTTCAAATCAAACATCTCCATAGTAACTCTCGATGTACAGAGTCGAATTCTACCTTCAGCTAAAGAAATACACCGATTGCTGGACGCTGGTAGGTATGTCTATGTCCCACAGTCTGCCGAAGGGTGAAGATATGATCAATCAATACACCCTTTTCCTGGTGTAAAGCCTGCCCGGTCATCTCGCGTTTGTTTCTCCCGAGCACCACTTAGTCTACGCCTGATTATTGTGCATAAAACTTTATATACCATATTGGTCAAGTTAATCCCCCTGTGATTATCACAAAAGGATTCGTCTCCCTTGTTGAATATCGGGATAATCAATGACTTACACCAGCTGAACGGGACTATCTCTGAATCCCAGACTGCTTCACGGTCTAACTGCCATTACACTTGAACACAAGTGATCATAAGCTTTAACTTAAAAATAAGATTGATAACCACGGGTGTCGACGGATTTTTTTCATGATTATACTTCAACATTTGTACTAAGAGGTAGTTACGTCAAACGACTTCTAAATGATTTATAATATTCTTTAACTTTCTCGTCTCACCACAAGGATTTTACGTGAAACATTTTTTAATACTAATGGATTTAAATGCGAGCTGGTTAACAAATATCTGCAAAAAATTGAAGCTACTGTTTAGAATTTGGCATACTAAACCTATTCGAAGAAGGCATAAACTTTCCTCACTCATATGAGGTGGTAGGAAGCGATCATATTTATCAACTTGCAAGTCCTGGAATTCTTTCTTTCAAAAAAACTTCCAGGCTATTCCAATAAGAACTATGATAAAGCTTCCGTTCGCTGTAGAAACTTCATAAACACACAAAATCTACCTAATGATACCACATAATTCACGACGGGTTGTACAATACTCAGCTATGTTTAGTCATGAATTTGCGCAACCGAGTATAACATTTTACTAAAGACAACATACAGACAAAAACTCCAAACGTTGATGAGGACTTACAGTTTGTTCGGATAATGTACCAGACCTGCTGAATTCTGTTGAACGAAAAGTATCCAACTGCTCACGTAATTCTGAAGGTGTCAAATCCGAAAACAGAAGAGCGCATTGTCCCTTTAAATACTTGCAAAGTTCATACATTTTCGGCCGGTAAGAATCTTTAGGTGTTTTACCGAGAGCCAAAGCTGTCACTTTATTGATACCAAATAAAATTCTAAATCCAAGATTAACCACATGAAATAACCCACTTGATGTTTGGCATATTTTTTCGTATTTCCGCCACCTTTTGAGAGCGAGAATTGTGCAAAGCGATCACGTAAACTCTTTTATACTGATCTACGTACTGACGGACCTTCATGAAAATAAAGTATTAATTATCGAACGACAACCTTTTTAACATGGTCATGCTTTTTAGGAGCATGTTTTCGGACTTTCGTAAGCTCAACTAAGAAAGAAACGAAATAAAACATACAATATGCCTACCTTTCTTGTCACGCCTTGATGTAGGCATTTCAGTCGAAATCCCGCTTGTGTAATTTCTACAAACACCCTAATCCTTAGATATTGAATTTGAAGATTTAGTAAATACTTATCTGTGGAGCATCACCAAAAATTTGTAAAGTTTATTTATTTATCTTCGGAGCCACCTTTCATATGAACACTAGTACGACCAACAGCATTAATTAGATAGAGGCAGAAATGCACACACAGATGTTCCGAAAAACAAAGACGAATTACAACTCCACCGTTCATGCAATTTAAATGGCAGACGGAAAGTCCAAGCGGCTAATCAGCATCACATTCACGCTAGGTTATAAAGTATGGCGGATGACTATTCCACGATTCTGAGTAGAGACTTTAATACACCTGCAAAGTGTGTTAAAATGGGATATTCAGGTTTAATGACTGAACGCCCAGCATCCAAATATCTCTACTCTGTTGGATTCGACTGATAAGAACAAATCATCACCTCAGTCACAATGTGGTGGAAAATCAACTTGCAACCGTAAATAATTCCCCAAAACCACTGACGACAGCAATCATCACTCAACATTGGATGCTGACCCTCACTGTTTAATTCGACTTGTTCATTTGAAGGCTTCCGGTCAAGCATCCATGCTATTTGGTACTCCGTCGTGTCACGTTCGTGCACGATCACTAGCCAGTTAGGCATTCATCCCGGTCTACGATTTGGTCCCGAAATATATCTCGTGGTTTAGACGATCAAACTCTGTTGTTTTGCTTTGCTTTGGTCCACGAGGAATGAATACTATAGAAGTTGTCGGCATTTGATCTTGCGTTAGTATACCCCGTACAATCCGCGAGAGTCGATACCATCAGCCTCTAAACTGGTGAGCCCAACCGCGAACTTCATCTTTGGTAAATATGTAAACAAATCTGATGAGTTCGTTCCATTTTATATTTGTTCCTGTACTGTTCTTAAACTATATATATGTCGCCATGAGCGATCCTAGTCATAAGCTCATTCGTATTCACTCAACTATCAAAACCATTCAGCTCGTATTATATTGGCCAGATAATCAGGAAACATGGTTTCAAATACCTGAGTCTGATTTTAGTGAGCATGGGATAACCGATCATCGTTCACAGTTCCTTGCAATTATTCACTCCCTACCGCGGGAATTCAGCAAGTGCGTAACTGTTCAGATGTCGAGTCCAGAGGTAAGTTACTCGTATAAGATGCTCAAAGCACCTCTCCTAAGGAGAAACATTCTCACGGATCGACAGCGTTTGGACGAATTATTTCGTAACATCCAGTTAGGGGATCGATCAGCCGTGAGCATGCTAATAAGAATGAGAGACGTTATTGGCCAACGTCAGTTCGATGAAGGACTTTTCAGAGAACTCTTCTAATCCAAACTGCCACAGTCCGTACAGACTGTACTTGTGACACTTCAGGGTGTTCCTATGGATGACTTAGCTATTTCTGCAGATAAAATTCTAGAAATCACTAAACAGCCAGTGACTGAAATATGCTCAGTTGCCAAACAGACTTCGAGTAGGGATACTGCAGTGATAGAGTTATGCAACTCCATCCAGCAGATGCTTAGGTTAAAAATGCCTTGTAATTCCTCTTACCATCGTTCTAAATCCCCTCAACGGCAAAATTCACGTGGTCGATCTAAATCCAAGCCACGTTCACTAAAAAACCCTGACTGGTGTAGGTATCACAATACCTATGGCCAGGAAGCGAAATGTTGCCGAAAACCTTGTAATTTCGACAATATCTCAAAGTCTGTGGCAAACTATCCCGCTGGCACTCGTTAGCGACTACCGTCGCCGGTGGTGCTAGCCGCCTACTTTGCATTCATGACGTGGTCAGCCAGACCCGATATGTAGACGACACAGGCGACGAAGTCAGCGACCTCTTTGCTACAGTAGCAGATCGACAGAAGGAACCTACCTTCAACCTACAGGCTGCAAATGGAAAACCAATTGCAACCTTTGGTAGGAAATACGTCTACCTGAACGTAGGTTTACTCAAACCCATTCAGTGAATTTTCCTTCTCGCTGACGTCACAATGCCCATCATTGGCACGGACCTACTTAATCATCATGATTTGCTCGTAGACGTCCGCCGTAAACGACTAATTGACAACACTACTAGTTTGTCTATCAAAGGCATAACTTACGTAGGCCCCAGCTTGTCAATCGTTAAGATGAAAGCAATCCTCGATCCAACTTTTCAACCTATTGTTGACAAATATCCGGAACTCAATTGCCCATCTAACGATCTCCCGTGTATAACCAGCAATGTTATGCACCACATCATAACCTCAGGATATCTAAAGCACGACGTGCTCCTGACAAACTGAGAATCGCTAGAAATGAGTTCGACCATATGCTCACCCATGACATCATTCGGCCAACAAATAGCCCATGGGCATCCTCAGTGTATATGGTACCGAAAAAAGATAGCAACGATTGGCTACCCACCGGTGATTACCGGCGAGTGAACGCCAAAACCACCCCCGATTGCTACCCTTTGCCTCACATACACGACTTGACGGCAACGTTATCTGGTGCAACTATGTTCTCTAAAATCGACTTGGTTGAAACGTATAACCAAATCCCGATTGCACCAGGAGAAAACGGCTATCATCACGTCTTCCGGACTTTTTGAACTTCTACGTATGTCATTTGGCCTCCGGAATGCAGCACAAACATTCCAACGCTTTATCGACGAAGTATTTCGCAGTCTCGACTTTGTAAACGCATACCTCGATGACTGCCTCATTGCGAGTCTAGACAGGGAAACTCACCTCAGACATTTGGATTTGGCATTCGAAAGGTAACGCCTACATGGTGTTACCATCAATATTCAAAAGTGTTATAGAAATAGAACCATATAATTCAATCACAATTTACAGGCAGTAGCAAGATATGCCATACATGTTCGGTGGAGATTATACATACACTTGATAAATGTTAATCCCAGTAGTATAAAACAGCCTTTTCACTTATATACAATCATTTCTGTACACAGTTGGAAAAATCTGCTAGATTGTTAGTGAGTGCAACACATCAGGAAATACAGAAGCATTGTCTTCGCATTAACAAAGAAACCAGGTCTTTGGTGAATGGATTATAAGTGCCTGGGAAAAAAATAAAGCTTGAAGTCAATTTTCATACATAACTTCGTTGTGTGCAGAATCCTTGAATTATAGTTCATTAATGTGTTATTTTGAAATCAGTGATATGTATATCTCATTTGATATGCAATGTCATTGTTGGGAGTAAATTCATAAGCTTCAGACGCATTAGTTTATGGATTTCTACTGCTTTTCGGTATTTTATTAGTGTGAGGAAGGTTTACGAATTTCAGCTGTTCCGACAGCAGTTGAGAATATTAACTGCCCAGCAACATTATGGATATAACAACATTCAGGGAGCATGATATGCCGTAGCTACAAACCTACAAATGTACGAGTAGCTTGAATCCATCAAGCGCCTACGCTCTCAAAAGGACCTCGACGAATAGTTAAGTGCACTCAAAAGTACCTCCAAAGTTTTTAACCTCAAAACACTTCTTAGTGCGTCGGTGGCACAGTGGTAGGACTCTCGCCGACCATGCACATGGTCCCGGGTTCGATCCTCTGCCGCGCACACCCGATATCTATGGTCAGCCTGAATTGGCCTACCGATATCCATGCTGAAAGTTCCATACTTGTACTGAAAATAGGTGTGAATCAAGCTGTAAATCAAAATAAATAAATAAATAAAATAAATAAATAAAAGGAATTCGGTCACTAGTTGTCGCGAAGTACGTACGCTAGTCGTTGTTCTCTACTTCGATACATCCAGGGCATTTGACATGGCCTCTCACAGTATTCTCTTTGAGAAGCTGCACTCATGTGGAATTCGCAATCCATGACCTAACTGGTTAGAGTCATTTCCAAGCAACAGGGTAGAAATAACCAAAGTCGGATCTGTATTGTCTCATCCTAGGCAGATCACAAGTGGGGTTGTGCAGGGTAATGTCCTAGGACCACTTTTATTTACAGTCTATATTAACAGCACTTGTAACTGCTTCGCATCAGCTAGACCATTCATATATGCTGACGACCTCAAAGTCGTTTACTCCTGCTACAGTCATGAATTAAACGATATGGCAAGTAAAATACATCTTGAACTAAGTAGTCTCGCAACATGGTGTGTTGAATCCTGTCTAGAGTTTAACATTGACAAATGCGGCTGGGGCTGGATTCGTATCGGCAACAGTAACCTTGAACTAACTCTTGAAGTAAATGGGCGAAAACTAGCCAAGCCCAACTCAGTCGTAGATCTCGGTATCAGATACTCCAGTAATATAACGTTCTCTGAGCAAACTGATTATGCTAGACGTAAGACACGAAGGCTCCAAGGAGGCATAACTCGCAATTGCTTTCGTCGTGAAACTAGGGTTTTATTATACAAAGTATATGTCCGAAGTATTTTAGAATACTGCAAGGTTATTCTTAGCGGACTGCGACAGAATGACAAGCTTAAGTTAGACGCAGTGCAACGGGAATTTACCTCAACAACTCTTGGTTTACAATGTAGTCTCGAATACTCTGAGCGTTGTGACAGACTGAAAATAGAACCATTCTGCAAAAGACGTCTTAATCTAAACCTTATTTTCTTCTGTAACGGCAGAAGACAAGGCCTGTGTAACACATCTTTTATTGGAAAAATCAAGAGGTATTCTTAAATTTTCATGTGCTTTGTTATTAACGTTATTGTTAGGGGAGAGGCGACCTCTCCTGATTAGTAGCTTTGCTGCTGAAAGTTATCGTGTTCTCCGAAGTCAAACCATATATCTGTGAGTCATATTTCCACACTTTAACTCCGGTGTGATTGGCTGGTGATTTCCTCAGTGTTAAGCTCTGTTATTGTTTTTCTCATGACCCTTACTCGGGACGTGAACATTGACGTAACTTGTTGTCTACAATTTTAGCTTGCAAACAGCTCTCACCACACCACCACAAACTAACTAATTTTCTCTTGCACTCCCCCAGGCCAATAACTAAATCTACCGTTGTCATCAGTTACAATCTTGGAAATCATGACAACCTGGTTGCTATAGAGCACTGTCAGACTTATATGCGGTACAACTTCCTCTTCTTAAATAAGTTTTCAGTCATTTGGAACAGACTACCCGCTAATGTGCGTGATGCAAACAC